GGGGCCGAGCAGGGCGCGGCCCTGTCCAGAGTCAGGGTGGAAACCCAGCAGTGACGGTTGCGGCAGCCGAAGGGTTAGGCGAGCCGCTGTATCTGAGATTAGTCCGTTATTTATAATGTAGTTTGTTAGATTAGAGTTAGTCTTGAGCTGGCCTAGTGTCCTACCTTGAAGAAGGCTGAAGTCGGGGCTCCAGTATTGCTGCTAAATGCAGCGGATTTACGTCTTTCCCTGACTGGGTTTGCTCTGGAAGCTTTCTTTTCCACCGCTGTGTATAGGGAGGGTACCCAAAGAATGCCTCCGTGTCCTAACACCCAAATGCTAAGTCACCCAAATGCCAAAAGTTCTGGTTGAAGCACGAGCTCACCTTTTACTCATCGCCTGTCTTCATCCAAATCTTTTCCTTCTTAGAAAACGCACTTTCAATAAAATCCCACACATTGGGGAATTAGAGCAGTGGTGGACTCACCCTAAACATCACATTTTGAATGTAGCCGCATCCTAGAGACAGGTTGTGCCTAGCACGACCATCTAGCTGGATTAGAATGTTTAGCAGCCTTCTTGAGGTTACCCAAGGTGACCTGTGACCTGCTAAATACAAGTGGACCTTGAAAACCTTTTGGGAACCAGGCTGCATTTAAATAGTGACTGCCTAATGATACAAGTCCAGGATACCCATTCATAGGTAATCCATCTACCCTATAGAAAGCCTGGAATGTCAGGCACTCGTTGTTATCTTTCCTTCTCCAGAGTACTGCACAGTGACTGGCACGTAGTGGCTGACCAATAGCTGTCTGTTAATGAATGAATGAGTAAGCGAAGAACAGCTGCACTGTAATTGTCCTGTGGAAATTGCCACCAAAGGTATTGGGCATTGTGTACAGTATGACCCATGTCATGTGTCTGACATTGTCGTCTAATGTGCCAAACATAAAAAATATTTAGCAAATACTCTTACTGGGCATCTTTTTGCGTTTATATTTTCAAAGCCAATAGTTTCTCTTTAAGTATTTCTTGTGTGATCATTGAACATTTGCTGGATTTGGTGCCCAAGTGTGGAATACTCTAACAGGCTGCAGGAGGCTGGCTAGAATTAATCTTTAGCTAGGACAGATGAGATGAGTAATTTAAAAATTGGTTGAAATCTAAAAGCACTCTTCATCCTTGTTTTAACTTTTCTGGCACCTTGATTCACTTCCTAGTTAATGAAAAAGAGGTTTTTGCCCTTTGATAACATACTTCTCTCATTTTATCATGTCACCACAGATCTCAATCCCTGGTCCTTTCATTCAGCAAACCCTGACTGCCTGGCAGGAGCCGAGCATTGTGCTAAGTACTAGGATTCAAAGATGAACAAGAGCTCATGGATCACTGAAGATAAACCTGTTAACAAGTTGTTACTGTAAACTGTGACACCTGCTGTAATAGAGCTGTGTATCCAGTCCTGTGGGAGCCCAGATAGAAGAGTCCCTGAGGGATCTACACGTGGCTGTCTTGAAGTAGTGACACTTGAATTGGATCCTGAAGATACTGATAGGGGCTTGCCAAGAAGAGAAGAGTGAAAGGGCAATGTAGGACAAGAGGTGCTCAAATGCAAAATGCGTAGAGGTATGAAGGAACACAGCATGTTCACGGAGATAAACTGCTCTCAATCAAGGTATTTCTCAAAGTGTTGTGTGTAGACCATGGGCATCAGAATCACTGGCCAGGAACCAGTTGTTGATAAGACCATGTCTTGATCTTCAGTGGAAACCAATGAATGAAAGATTTGCATTTTGAGAAAAATTACTCTCTATCAATTTGCAAGATACAGCAAGGGCAGTTTAGAGGCAAAGTGTCAGGATGTGAAAATGACAGATGATTTGGCACTGAGGGAGGGCAGTGCCGTGGGGCTGGAGAGGCCTGGCTGCATTTGAGAGTCATTTAAGATGTAAAACCGATTTACTTGGTAATTGATTAGATGTTGGAGGAAGAGTCTGGCCAGCTCTGAATTTTCCAGCTTCAGCAATTAAATACATGTGATCCTAATAGTCAAAACAAGGAGACAGAAGTAGAAGCAGACTGAGGTTGAGTGTGGTCTTGTTAAGTTTGAGGGACTTGGAGGATATTTTGAGGAGGGGGCCAGAGTTTGAGTTTCAGTAGTTATTAGGTTCCAGAAAATAGACCAAGAGAAAAGCATTCAATTGGAGGAATTTAGTTATCTTTGTTGATTTCAGTTACTTGTCAGGCTGCAATTTTGTGGATAAATATCATCCTTTGTCTTCTGGTAGCACATGCTATGCCCTCATAAACAGGGTAGAGCAACAGTAGCCTTCCCCAAATTATAGGGAAATCATATAAAGGAGAATATATCTTTTTTTAAAACTTTAAAATGACACTTTGTTATATCCAGTAGAGTGCCAATAAAACATAACTCATTATTCACAGACTTGGACCCTTGACATTCTCAAAGGGTTCATCCATGACCTTCGTGAGTCTCCAAAATCATGAATGTCACCATGACATATAATTTCTGCTATAAAAAGCAGTAAAGTGTAACTGAAAAATGGAAGGGATCCTTTTAGACTCTTAATGGTTCTTTAAATGTGGGACCAAGGTAATTTCTAAAGCTACTTAAATAAATTTGCCATTAAAATAAACTTCTGATTTCATTATGTCTGTACCTTATTAATTCCGTATTTCCCTGACTCTGCAAAGAAAAAAAATGTTAATCACAGCATGCGAATTACTACATAGATGTCAACGAGAAGAGAAGAGCTAAGCTGTGCTGGGACACAGATGCCAGGTGTTGGGCCTGGTCCGTTCACTAGCTAAGTGGCTGGCAAGTACACTCTGGCCTCCTAGCAAGCCATTCAAATTTGTGTCTCAGCAAATTACCTCAGGACAGGGACCTTTCAGATCACTCACTGGAGACTGTTTTCATCCATGAATATTCAGTCTGCAAATACTAGTGGACCACTACATTGGCTTAAATGAAAGTCCTCAGAAGTGCAACAACGTTTCTGTTCTGCTCTTGGAAGTTTCTCTTTCTCTCTTGGCAGTAAGTCTCCCTTGCCTCTGTTAGCATCATGTACCTGCCTCTGTTAGCACCTTTCATGCTGTTGCACAACAGTTCGTTTGCTCACGCTTGTCTCCCTCATAGGCTGTGGCAACATATCCTGTTGCTGAACCTAGTGCCTGGCACCAGGAGCTGCTCAATAAATGTTCCACTGTCTAAAATTATAGCCATTGGAATATAACTTTTATAATTATATTAATAACAATTATAACTTACCTGTGAGCTCTGTCTCCTTACGTACAGCAAGCATACATTTTTATCCTAATTCTTTCTGCATGGTACCTCTTTGTCCTCCCACTGTTTTCCCCCAATGTGCCTCCTTGATGTTAAATCATGCCTGTTGTCTTTGAGCGTTATAAACCATCTCAAGGGCTATCTGCTCTAGGCACCAAGAAATGGAAAAATTTCAATGACAAGACCCTGATGACAATCATTCTTTGTGAATAACTTCATTCGAGTTTATTCTCAGGGCACAGCACAGACGCTCCTTTGTACTTCATGCTTTTGATGTTCTTGTGCATGACAGAGCCACTCAGTTCCCCGAGTTGGAGCCCTGGAGCACACTCCCCAGCATGCTGGCCTCTGCACCTCCTTTACAATCCGCTCCCTCAGCCTCCGATGACCCCATGCTCGGTATTTCCAGAAGCGGGATGATCTCTGACTTTATTTTTCCTATTGGTTGACTCATTACTCAATTTGTCAAGTGAGCTTTTTAGAAAGTCTGGGTCACAAGGTCTTAATTTCTAGTTGACCTTGGCAAGGGTTTTCAGCAACTAGAACAGACTACCAAAGTTGTTGAGGAATTGCCTCTGGAGCTGTTAAAAATGGAGATGGATTTCTATCTAGCTTAGATGGTCTGAAGACAGGCGAGAGGTAAAATGAATCCTCAAGGTCCAAGAGTACAGGATTAAAGAAACACTTCGTTTCTGGCTGTGAACTCCCCCTACCACCACTTCAAGTCAGAGTAACCAATTTCTCTTCCAGGCCAGGCTAAGAAGCTCAACATGAAGTGGACCATGGCAATGGACTTGGGCTGCTTTGCAGAAGGCATTCAGCCCAAGATGTGGCAGCTGCTTCAAGGAGCCAATATTTATCAAGGTT